TTTTTTAAAAAAAAAATAGATATATCCGATATTTAACATTTCTCGACACAAGAAAACAAACTATTTGTGGTCAAATATTCGTGAATATCGGATTTCTAAATTAACGAAATATTCACGAATATCAACAACGATATTTTCTTTCATAGAGAAGGAAACTCGGTTGCGGACAGGTTAGCTTCATTTGCTACTGCAAAAGTAAAGGACTTAAAAGTTCATGTATTACACGGTCAGTTCCACCACCTGCCCACAGGGGCTACTACAGCACCATCTTTTGTATCAATGTATATATACGTAAAGATGTTGATACAAAAGATGGTGCTGTAGTGAATTTCACGGTCAGTTCCACCACAGGGACTATTGGCACACCCAGAGAAGTGCCCGGTATTTAAATAAATAAATTATCTTCACCAAAAAAGAAAAAAACGATATTCTTTTATGAAAGGTTGTTTCATGAGGAGAATACACATAGGCCTAAGCTCGATGGCATGGTTTTTAACAAAATTGAGACGATACAAAGGGAGAATTTGGAGAAGAATATTGGGGTGGAAGAGATTATCCAAACTCTTAAAGATATTGATGGGGATAAGGCTCCGGTCCGCGATGGCTTTCTTATGGTTTTCTATAAGAAGTGTTGGCATATTTTAGGGGATGACATAATGTCGGTTATAAGGGATTTTCAAGAATCCGGTTTCTTGGATTGGCGACTAAACACAACTTTTATCACCTTGATTCCTACGAAAGAAGGTGTGCTATCTATTAATGACTATAGACCCATTAGTCTTATTGGAGGAGTGTACAAAATCATTTCAAAGGTGTTGGCGACAAGATTAAAGAAAGTGATTCATATAGTCATCTCCTCAACACAAGGGGTTTTTATGGAAGACAAGCAAATTCTTGATAGTGTTCTCATTGCCAATGAGTGCATCGATGCAAAAATAAGACAAAGGGTGCCCGGGCTTGTATGCAAGGTAGACATCACTAAAGCCTATGACTATGTAAATTGAGCTTTCCTTGACTACATTCTAGGTCGGATGGGTTTTGGTGTGAAATTGAGGAAATGGGTTCACACATGTGTATCTACGGCCCGTTTCTCAATTTTAATGGATGGCGAGCCAACCTGAAATTTTGAATCGCAAAGAGGGCTAAGGCAAGGAGATCCACTATCACCCTCGCTCTTCATCCTTGTCATGGAAGCCTTGTCTAGACTCACTTTGAGATGTATTCATGATGAGTATCTTGAGTCGTTTTGTGTTGGGAATGGGGAAGTAAGGGTGGGTGTTCTCCAATTTGAGGATGATATCATTTTCCTTACATCGGCATCTTCTCAAGCCTTAGCAACCATCAAAACGATCTTGTTCATCTTCGAAGGTGTATCGGGATTGAAAGTGAATTTGGCTAAGTCGTCTATTGCCGA